GTCTCTTCTTAAAAACTTCCAGTGTTGGAGCATTCACCGCTTCTGGAGGCAGGTTGTTCCACTGGTTAATTGTTCTCACTGTCAGGAAGTTTCTCCTTAGTTCTAGATTGCTTCTCTCCTTGATTAGTTTCCACCCGTTGCTTCTTGTCCTGCCTCCAGGCGCCTTGGAGAATAGCTTGACTCCCTCTTCTTTATGGCAGCCCCTGAGATATTGGAACATTGCTATCACGTCCCCCCTCGTCCTTCTCTTCATTAATATAGACATACCCAATTCCAGCAGCCGTTCCTTATATGCTTTAGCCTCCAGTCCCCTAATCATCTTTGTTGCTCTTCTCTGTACTCTTTCTAAAGTCTCAACATCTTTTGTACATCGCGGTGACCAAAACTGGATGTAGTATTCCAACTGTGGCCTTACCAAGGCATTGTAAAGTGGTATTAACACTTCACGTGATCTTGATTCTATCCCTCTGTTAATGCAGCCCAGCACTGTGTTGGCCTTTTTGGCAGTTGCAGCACACTGCTGGCTCATATTTAGGCAGGGCTTTTTTTCAGCTGGAACGCGGCGGAACCGCGTTCCGGCACCTTTTTCCGGGCCGGCCGCACCGGAAATAGCCCCTCCCAAATTTTACTTGCATTCCTGTTCTCTAAAGGGGCGGTCCTAGGGTTTGATGAGGGCGTGGCCAGGTTTGAGTTCCGCCACCTTTTCTCCGAGAAAAAAAGCCCTGTATTTAGGTGATTGTCCACTAGGACTCCGAGGTCCCTCTCACAGTTACTACTATTGAGCAAGGTGCCACCTATACTGTACTTGTGCATTTGGTTTTTCTTGCCTAAATGTAGAACCTTGCTTTTTTCACCATTGAATTTCATTTTGTTAGATAGCGCCCAGTGTTCAAGTCTGTCCAGATCCTTCTGTATCTTAAGCCTGTCTTCTGGAGTGTTGGCTATTCCTGCCAGCTTGGTGTCGTCTGCAAATTTGATGAGTTCCCCATCTATCTCCTCGTCCAGATCGTTGATGAAGATGTTGAAGAGCACCGGGCCCAGAACAGAGCCTTGGGGCACCCCACTACACACTTCCCTCCATGTAGATGCGGTTCCATTGAGGACCACTCGCTGAGTACGGCCGGTCAGCCAGCTATGGATCCATCTGGTGGTGATGCTGTCTACCCCACATTTTTCTATCTTGTCAAGTAGTAGGTTGTGATGTACTTTATCAAATGCCTTACTGAAGTCCAAGTAAATTATGTCCACAGCATTCCTCTCATCCACTAATTTTGTCACTTGGACAACTCGTTTTGATTTCTTTTCCCTTCCTTTAATTTCTTTTTGCAATTCATTTTAATCATTTCCCAGCTACTAAAATAAAAATGTACTGAAATAAGTAAATTTAATTTGTTAAGCATGGAAACTTTAATATAATTTAGCTTAAGACAGGAACCCTTATTATAAAACAAATACCTTGATGTATGCTATTCCTCTATTTCTCATTAATTTCCAGTGTTATATGAAATTTAAGTTCTTTTGCTAACTGCCAACTCCAATTTGAATGCTTTTTTTCTTTTATTTTATTTTTTAATAAAGACTGCCTTTACTGGTTTGTATGTAGTTTTACCACAGTATTGTTATGCTGTTTATGTTTTACATTCTTCCACAGGCCATTTCACAGCTTCTGAGTCACAGCATTACATTCTTTCCCATACTTTGATAATCTGTATGAGTTTGTCAGACAGTTCAGTTTGTCAGACATTGTTTCTTTATCCTTTGTAAAGTTGTTACTTCTCATTATAGCCAAGGAAAAAGAGAAAAGCAACTTGAACCAGCATGACTGCATGATTTCGGAGGAGAGAGAAAAAAGTAGGTTTCAGGTCCTTTAAATTCATATGCCAGGGCCTAGTTCCTACCTCTCTGCAGTCCTGATTCTAATCAAATTAAGAAAAAAGACAAGAAATGATAAAATACTTTAGATTTATTCAGCAGCAGCATATTCCAGTTTTCTTTTTCTAATCACAGTAACTACCCAGGCAACAAAAACATAAAAACAGGGACAGCATTTCACTTTGAAAATTAACATATATTCAAAGAGCAGAAGTCTCATACATTATAAATTTATTAGCCTGGACTTAGACATTAACAGTTAGACCAGGAATATAAAACAAAACAGCAGGTTAAATATTCCTGGAGTGGTCCACAGATTTTCCATAAAGGGATCAAATGATGCTTTCTAAAGGAGTTCTTTAATCAAGCATTTTGGATAGCCAGTTTAATAAAATATGAAAGACTTACACAGACTTCACCCTAGAATGGAATTATTTCTCTGATAATCAGGAGGCTCTCCAATCAAAAGACAAGCTTTTAATACAAAATAAAATTTGTGGCATTTTGTTTTGTTTTGCTCCTTGGAACAATTAGCTATCATCTTCTATATTATATAAAAAGAGGGCCATTTTTTTCATGGACTCTTGCATATAAAACAGAGGAGAGATGCACAGTAACACTAGTGCATATTTAGCAGAGTCTGCCTATAAATATAGTTCCAAAAGTCCTGGCAATTCAATAGACGGTCACTATGCTCTCCTCTATATTATTTAGTATAATGATATTATATAGAGGATTTATCCCTGGTGATACGATTTTAGAATATCGACATCAACAACCTGATAATCTTTTAGAAATTTACAAATGTACAGCATATTTATAATATTACTTTCAGAGTGTCAGTGCAAAGATATACATATAGTACACTGTGATAATTACTCATAAAAATAGGCATTGGCGTGTGTAAAAAAAAAAGAAAAAGAAGAGAACGAGGCATGGTTTTGACACATGTTTCCACCTAAGGCTAAACATATTTCTTCACAGAAATATGAACCATTTTTCATCCTTCTGTTTACCAAAAAATGTATGTGCAAATGGTAGTGTCTAGAGATTCCCTAATTGAATTGGTTATACAATAGAATCCTCTTTGACTAGATTGACAGTGTCTTTAAATGAATCTTCAGTCGCTGAATAGGCTAACGGTGGGTCTCTTGTCAAAATAATCTTCTGGGGCAGCGATGGAGAGGAGGAAGGGGCACTTTCAGCTTCTGCTTGCTGTTCTTTCTCCATCTGAAATATTAAATAAATAAATGGTAGAGTAGAGCTATTGGTGCTTATTACTCTTTGTAATGTGGTCAGTCAGCCACATAATACTCGTGTTTGTGCAAGCTACTGTATTCGGATTACAGGCAGTCCTCAACTTACAACCACAATTGAGCCCAAAATGTATGCTATTAAGTGAGAAATTTGTTAACTGAGTTTTGCCCCATTTTACGACTTTTCTAGCCACATTTGTTAAGTGAATCATTAAATTGGTAACATGGTTGTTAAGTGAATCTGGCTTCCCCATGGCCTTTGCTTGTCAAAAGGTTGCAAAAGGTGACCCCGTGACCCCAGGACACTGCAACCATCATAAATATGAACCAGTTGATAAGCATCCAAATGTAAATCACATGACCGTGGGGATGCTGCCACGGTCATAAGTAATAATAATAATAATAATAATAATAATAATAATAATAATAATAATAATAATAATAATAATAAAGTTGGAAGGGACGTTGGAGGTCATCTAGTCCAACCCCCTGATCAGGCTGGAAACCCTATACCATTTCAGACAAATGGCTGTCCAGTCTCTTCTTAAAAACTTCCAGTGTTGGCACATTCACCGCTTCTGAAGGCAGGTTGTTCCATTGGTTAATTGTTCTAACTGTCAGGAAGTTTCTCCTTAGTTCTAAGTTGCTTCTCTCCTTGATCAGTTTCCATCCGTTGCTTCTTGTCCTGCCTTCAGGCGCCTTGGAAAATAGCTTGACACCCTCTTCTTTGTGGCAGCCCCTGAGATATTGGAATACTGCTACCATGTCCCCCCTCGTCCTTCTCTTCATTAAACTAGACATACCCAATTCCAGCAACCGTTCCTTATATGCTTTAGCCTCCAGTCCCCTAATCATCTTTGTTGCTCTTCTCTGTACTCTTTCTAGAATCTCAACATCTTTTTTACATCGTGGTGACCAAAACTGGATGCAGTATTCCGAGTGTGGCCTTACCAAGGCATTGTAAAGTGGTATTAATACTTCACGTGATCTTGATTCTATCCCTCTGTTAATGCAGCCTAGCACTGTGTTGGCCTTTTTGGCAGCTGCAGCACACTGCTGACTCATATTTAAGTGATTGTCCACTAGGACTCCGAAAGTGTGAAAAATGATCGTAAGTCACTTTTTTTTAGTGCCGTTGTAACTTTGAGCAGTCACTAAATGAACTGTTGTAAGTTGAGGACTACCTGTATTTTAATTGCAGAGATATTTAACCATTACTATTACTTTAACATCTACAGTAATAACGTAAATGCAATGTAAACATTTTAGAGCATGAATGAAGTGGGAAATTTTTGCAGAAGACACAAGATTGCGATAAAAATGTAAACGAAGGGACTTCGTGAAAAAAAAAATTAGGCCAGTGGGAAAGCTGAATATCAAAAGTGATAGGAAGAATCTAGGCTGCCAAGGAGGTAATAGGAACACTGAAATCTCTGTTCTCTGTAAGCAAAAGAATTTGCTGAATGTTACAAAACACCAATTATATAAAAAGCAGCTGAACGAGGCCCGAGAGATCTAACTTGACCAATACCAGGAAAGACTTTTGAGTCCCGAGGTGTACCACCAAGTTTGACCTCTGAAAAAAACTCATCATGCCTTGAGAGAAGACCTCTGTTCTATGAATGGTTGCCTGTAAATATCAAAAGAGAGTATCTATCATAAATAATAATCTCTCTCTTTTGCCTCAGAATCAAACTTGACTCCTGATGACCACAGGGAAAAGTTCATGAAGTTTTCTAGACCAGGGATCCCCAACCCCCCAGATCCTTGGACCGGTTGCTGGCAAGCCGCGGCATGCCAGCAACCGGTCCTCACAAACAAGCCCCATCCGCGGGATGCATGCAGCACGCAAAACCATACACCTTCCGGTCTGCGGAAAAACCTCTCTCTACGGAACCAGTTCCTTGTGCCCAAAAAGTTGGGGACCTCTGTTCTAGGCAATATTTTTGGAGGTGTTTTGCTATTGCCTTCTTCCTTGGCTGAGAAACAGTGACTGGTCCAAAGTCACCCAGGTGCCTAATTCAAGACTAGAACTCAAGTCTCCCTACTCCTATTCAAGTGCCTTAACAACAAGAACAAACTAGCTCTCCTTTCATACGTAAGAGAGAACTAAATCCTTGTGTTAGTCTCATGCTTGGAATGTTCGATATTCTGCTCAATGATGCAGAACTGATTACTCTGGCCAATTTGGGGCCTGGGGATGGTATAGCCAACTAAATAAAACTGTGCCATGACTTGGTGCATAGCAATTCTGGGCATAACAGCAGCTTTTATTTCCAGAATTAAAGATAATATGGCCCCCTGCTCTAATAGAGGGCAAAGCAAAGAGAGAGGGGGGGAGGGAGGGGGGGGAGAGGGAGAGGGAGGGAGAAAGAGAGAGAGAGAGAGAGAGAGAGAGAGAGAGAGAGAGAGAGAGAGAGAGAGAGATGTGCTCCTGGAATAGAAGGAAAATGACACCAATTCCAGGAGTTGCCTCAGGGAATTTTTCTCTCATTTTCTTAAAAAAAAAAGCAACCCCCCCCCAAAAAAACCCCAGAGAAATTTGCAATACAGGAAGGAGAAAGAATATAGGAAAAAGAAAAAAAAGCATCTCCTTTTGTTTTTCCCCTTTTGTAGGGATTAATACATTGCTCATCATCAAGGACAGAATATCGTGAAGTATCAACAATTTTAAAATTAATATTGTTTTGCTAAGTAGGAATTTGAAGCTATATGACCTTACCTCTGAATAGATGGGATTTTCAAAGTTAGTACTTTGTTTCATTCTTCTTTTAAAGAAGCTCCATTTTGATTCCTGAAATATTTTTTTAAAAATCATGTGAAACTAGTAATTGATTTGGTACTGATGAATCAGTAATTTGCAACTGTTTCTTTAAAACTTCCTCTTTTTTTTGAATGGAGACAAGGAATTTATTTGTTCTTATCCCTGCCTGTATTAGATTTTGGAGCAAGGAAATGAAACAGTTCAACTTTCAATGAATAAACACACAATAACCAGGGGAAAAAAGTTTCCTAGTAGGTGGGGCTCAGATAAAGATGTCATGTAGATAAAGTGAGGCCATGTACCATCCATATCTTACTAATTACAATAGAATTAAGCCACAGCTTTCCAATTGGGATGCAATGTTAAACTGCTAGAAGAGGCGCTTGGCTTCTTTTCAAAGCAAAAATTATACCAAAAACTATCAGTTTGAGGTTGTTTGTTTTGAGTAAGATCAGGTTCAGTATTATGAAACCCAGAAAGCAAAAAAGGATAAAGGGAGAAATAATCAGATTAAAAAAAGATGAATATATTTAAGATTTAGCACCTTTCTAAGTTAAAAAAAAATCTACATCATGTGCTGAAATGATATTCAGCACTTGGAAAATGTGCATATTCTTGACACGTAAGCATAGTAAGATACAAAATTTTCCACCTGAGGAAAATATAAAGCACAATCCCTTCCATTCCCACAAGCCATTCCCCATTCTTCCCCTCTGATTCTGCCACACCTTGTATCAATCACTTTCTGTTACCTGGCTAGTTTCTGTACTTGCAGAAGGCTGAGCTGCATCAGCAGATACAGGTGTGGCGTATACGGGATTCTCAAAGTTTTCGTTTCCTTCACTAGTGGAAGCAGTTACCTATTGTCAAAGATAGTTTTGACAGAACTGAAGAACAGGCAAACTACAGAATGCTTAAAAGGAAAGGGGATTGGGGAAATGACATGTAAATGGATCCTAGGGTAGGGGTGAGGGAAATTTATTTTTTTAAAAAAATATCCTCTCCTTACTTTTGTTGGAGATGCTACAATCACATCGTCACCTCTGGTGTCTTTTGTTGCGTACATAGGATTCTCAAATGTAATTGGCTGCTTCCCAGTTTCCAAAGCAAAGTTTTCATTCTGAAAACAATAGCTATATAGATTAGTCAAAGATCGAAATTACAATTTGTAGTTCTTTAATGCAACGCATAATAAAATACACACATGCTGTGGGCATATTAATCTTACATGGATTAACCTTTCAGCTTTTTTTAAAAAAAGGTGATTCTTTTGGCAAATGTAGCAGGCACTTTGCCATTATTAAATAAAATTATGCAAGATTATCAAATCAAATCACTGCTTCTGAGTAACTGCAAGCTGACTACCCCATAAATCATTTGTTATGGAAAAAAATAAATGTATTTCCTCCTCAGCCACAGAAACATACTCTGCCAAAGGAAGCAAGGTCTTTTAAAAACAGATAATTGGCAATAAAAGAGCCAAAGCAATTTCATTTCATTTCAGTAGGTACCTCACCAGACTTCAAAGTAATTGGCAAATGAACCAGAGATGTAAAACTGTTTAAGATCACATGGAAGAAAAAGAGTTACATTAGGTGTATAGAGATGGGCAAGGGAGTTCAATATTGTTTTATATTATGACCCTTTTTCTGCTCAATGAGGAAACAAATAGATAGTAAGTAGCATAGGATGCACATCCAGCTTCTTGGGAAACTAGATGCCCTAAATTGGCAAAGAAGAACAAAGATACCTTTTAAAAATGAGCTCCTTTAATTAGATGTCATAGTAACCGAAACAATGTTAACAACACTAATGAGGAAGACGGAAGAGGAGACCAAGCCCTTGATTTGGAGGATTGAGTAAGACTGATGTTTCTTCTTTAAATGGCAAGGAAGGAAAAGCAGAAAACCACAAGGCATGAAACCATATGTGTGTGATAAAAATTTGAGTTGGTCTGGGTCCCCCTTGCATTGGAAAAACAGTACCGCAAGCTAAGGATCTTCGCGTTTCTTTGGCAGATGCCAAAAATTACACACTTAGACTTTTGAGACACATTATAAGCACTCTCACAAAATGCTGCCACGGCAGATGGCCAATTGGAAAACCATTTATTAGAAAGCAAGCTTCTATGGGGACTGGAGATAAGAGGCTCTCACCTCCTAAGAGGCAAGATTTACGAGAGCTTCATTTAAAGAAGGTTTAAAAAAAAAACCAGTCTTACCATTTGCATTGCTCTGTTAATCGAAGATTCAGCTCCAAAACCAGATACATTAATGTCCATTGTCACATCAGCCCCAGGTCGGAAAGTTACTCCATTGCCATTTTCCGTGGATTTTACAAGACTACTTAAACTTCAAAGATAAATTTATTTTTAAGAGAGAGAAGACATTTTAATACAAGTTTTAATATATTGTTAATACATCATTCTTTGAAGCAAATACAGAAACAGTTATCCATAAAACGCAAACATTAAAGCTGATCTATTTATTTTTAAATGAACAGGCACCATATTCAGAAGCCTCCATTGGAGCCTTAGTTGAGATGACCTCTGTTGCTGGTCAACTGTCTCTGGGTATAAAGAATGCTCGAATTAGCTGTATATAAAGCAAAATATTACTAAATATTTCTACTATTGTGCTTGATCAACTGAATGTTGAACTGCTGATTAAAAAATAGTGCACATCCCTGCTGTATGAAGTGTCCTTGGTTCCCCAGAGGATATGAACCTCGGTGCCTTCCATTAGAGGGGAAGTTTTGTTCAAGCAAGCTTGAATAAAAATGACAAGACAAAAAAGGCTGTGCTAGATTAAAGAAACAAATAGGATAGCCCAAAATACTCTTAAGGAAGAAACGTTCAGGAGCAGTTAGTTTTTTTGATGAAGACTTCAGTAAGAGCAATTCAAGCCATCCTCTCTTAAGCAACAGTATGTGTTGTGGGTTTACGGTTCACAAAAGGCAAGATCAGAACACTCAGAAGAGCATGCTCTCCTTTGCTACAAGAGTGGATAAGGAGTAACTCTCTGGATTTTGTTGGATTGCTACCTTCATCCCCCTTCCCTCATCTTTGGTCACAAAGTTCTCAAACACAACTGCAGGATTCAATGTTATCTACCCTTACTTTAAAAAAACAGCTAGTTTCAATGCATATGTACCTAGCCCTGAATACTGTGGGGCTTTTGTTCTGAATTAGTATGTACTGGATTGCACTGCAAAGCATTTGAAAGGGGAAAAGTGTGTGTGTGTGTGTGTGTGTGTTTGTGTGTGTTCGACAAAGTATGAATGCTTTTCTTGCTGACCACGGAAATCATCATGAACCACGCTTAATCCTGCAGGAATCCCAATGGCTTTGGGAAATAATACTTTTTCCTGAGACCATATAAGTCTGGTCATTCCAAGCAATACCTACCTCGGAAGTTTGGGAAGGGCAGGTAGCAGGGATCCTGTCCGTCTGTAATTAAAAAAGGCACCCACGCCCAGTGCGCCAATGATGATGATCAGAATGACCGTTAATAAGGCAGCCACTGCTGCTATTGGAAAAAAAAAAAAGCATAAGTGAATAATAGGGAAGCTGCAGCTGAAACTCAGTTGCTTAAACAACCGGAAACTTATTTAAAAGGTTTCAGGCCACTGAGTGATGGCTTAGCAGGAAAACACATTTCAAAGCTTACTTGTTCCGGGAGGAATCCCTTTTGACAGGCCCACTTCGCAGAAATTTCCAGTGTAGCCCGAGGAGCACCTGGAAAATGAAAGCGAGATGCTTGACTGGAACTGACAGTAGAAAAGTTCGTTGTATTTATTAACAATCTTAGGAAGATTTTTTTTTTAGAAAAAGAAAGATGGTGTGATTTTTTTTTAAAAAAAGCAATATCTTGGTAATTATATGTTCCATTGGAAGCACAGACACATAAACATGCATATCAAGCCACAAAACAGCTTGCTATTTCCTTAGAAATGAGTATGCTGGAATGTTGAGTCACAACTGATGGCACTTGGTTTTTTTTAAAAAATAATAATAAAGGGGATTTGATTTCAATAGAGCCCCAGTGCCCTCTACAGGTTCTGCTGAAGGTAAAAATGCTTTGATTGTCTAGGTTTTCTTTGAATCTGAGTAATCTGCTTTTTTGCAGATTACTTTTTTTAAAAAAAAAAATCATTGGATTTCCAATTCCCGTATTTGGGAACCGCTCTTGATTTGTGATAAGACCTGCCCATTCATCACTCCAGATTCTTTTTTAAGAATGGTGTATTTAAAAATGCAATAGATGAATGAAAGTTCCATTTATGTGAGCTGTTACTTCCCGAACAATACTATTTCACTGCCCTTAGCTAAGACAGACTCATCTTGAAAAGCTAAGCAAGATTGGATCTGGTTAATACTTGGATGGGAGATCAACAGGAAATTCCAAGGCTGAGGGCTAGGCTTGACTCCTAGAAAATGAAAATGGCAAAACTATCTTTTCAGAAAACGAGACAGATATATTTGTGAAAACACTTGGAAGAGACTTTGCTTTGATTTATAACATTTTACCAGGGTAGGGATGGGTGCATATTAGAATGCATCCAAGCTAAATCTATTTAGAACAATCTCTTTCCTTTGGCATGCTATTTTATTATGCAAGTATTTAGATACAGTAAGTGTTCTGTTTGCCTCCCCCCTCCTAATTTGAAGTAGCACAGGCTACTCCTTCTGTTACGAAGGAGTGATTTTAAAACAGCAAGGCATAGATCAGGGGTGTCAAACTCAATTTCACTGAGGGCCGCATCAGCATTACGGTTGCCCTCAGGGGGCTGGGTGGATGTGGCCAGCGTGGGTGCAGCCTACTGGGTGGGTGTGGATGGAGTGGGTGTGGCCTACTGGGTGGGTGTGGCCAGCTCTACATCGTCAAGGGTGCCTGTGGGGGCCTGGGCAGGAGTGGGACAGATCTGAGGGTCTCTGGCAGAAGAGGATGGGACCAGGGCAAGTGCCAAGGCATGGTCCACTGGAGGAGCCTCACTGTTCCTCTCAGGCCATGCGGGGGGGGGGCTAATGGAGTTAAGACTGAATGCATTTCAGCATAGAGGGCCACCACAAAATTGTGCATTGGCTCCCAGCTGGCCTTGGCCAGGGCCAAGGCAGAGGGGGCCGTTCCCTCACTGTTTCCAGGATGGCTTCGCGGGCCACATGAAACCACTTCGCGGGCCGCATCCGGCTCCCCGGGCCTTGTGTTTGACATGTCTGGCATAGATAAATGCAGTGGCCAGGCCCTTCAGGCAATGTATGATTAGACTCACCCTAAATACGAGACTGGGGCCCAGCCTCACAGAAGGGCATCCTAAGGAGGATTTTTACGTTTACGTTTTATGAGGTCCCCTTCAGAATGCCACTGATCACACATCAGTTGCAGAGGTGGCTGGCCCATAAACTGCTATTTAAGTGCCGTCATTTTCTTGACATTTCTTTCAGACATTCAGTGCACAAAAGAACTGCCTGCCTGTATCGCATTTATAGAGCTCGCAACAATAGGGATAACATCCAAACAACAAAATACAAAGAATCGAGTGAGTACAAAAGTACAAAAATAAGTACAAAATAATCGCAAGCCATCCAAACAACAAAACAAAGCCTAGACCAGGGGTAGGCAACCTTGGCTCTTTTATGACTCGTGGACTTCAACTCCCAGAATTCCTGAGCCAGCACAGCTGGCTCAGGAATNGCCAAGGTTGCCTATCCCTGGCCTAGACCATCTGCCACCTCTGAACCATTTCCTCTTACTGTCTGGTGACGGCTGATTTTTTTTTCCAGAAAGCTACAACACTTCCATCTTCTGCTTTAACCTTTCTATATAGTTTGGAGTGACAGAGGCAATCGGCAACATGGAAGTTTGGAACAGGCCCCTGAACTTAGAAAGTGCATTGAGCTAGACTGGGCAAAGAATATCAAACCCACCAGGCCTAGTGTGTGTGTGTGTGTGATTACTGGGGGCATGCAACTAGCCCCAATCCTCTGAACTGTGTATCCCAGCAGCTTCTGCCACCAAAGAAACAAGCAGGTGAGCAGTTTCAGAAGATCTTCTCTTTGCCCCAACCCCTAATTTCATTAGTTGTTCCTCTTGCCCGTGAACCTGCCTTTTCCCAGTGTGACAGTTTCAGACAACCCACCATACCCATGTCCTTGTTTGACATGAAACATGAAGGCATGATGAAGGACATCCTTTCCTCCTCAAGGAGCTCAGGTTATGGAAGACTACCCACAGAGGTCTGCTTTCGGATGAGCAAGAAACACAACACTGTAGGAGCTGCTTAGGGATCATAGTTACTAGTCCCTGGCCAGGAATAATTGATGAAAAATTCTGCAATCACCTCATCTCTATGAAATATTGTACTATTAACTAGTTAGTGGGAGGAGGAGGAGGAGGAGGAGGAGAAGGAGGAGAAACAGATTGTTTTTTTAACTGGCTCTTTCATGTTAAAATGCTACTAAAAGTAGTCCTCGACTTACAACGGTTCATTTAGTGACCGTTTGAAGTTACAACGGCACGGAAAAAGGTGACTTACAACCATTTTTCACATTCATGACTCTTGCAGCATCCGCATGGTCACGTGATCAAAATTTGGATGCTTGGCCGTTGTTTTTTATTTATGACGGCTGCAGTGTCCCGAGGGTCACGTGATCACCTTTTGCGACCTTCTGATGAGCAAAGTCAACGGGGAAGCCAGACTCACTTAACAACTGTGTTACTCACTTAACAACGGCAGCGATTCACTTAACAAACGTGGCCAGAAAATGGGAGCAAAATTCACTTAACAACTAACTATCTTGCTTAGCAACAAAAATTTGGGGCTCAGTTGTGGTCATAAATTGAGGACTCCCTGTAATTCTTGTTGCTACTTGCATTTTGTCTCTGAACTTCTCTCTAGAAAAAGACATTTATGTAAGAAACAAGTCCCTCCTCCTGGGCTAAAGCCTACTATGAATTTTTGCAGCGTTTTTATATAGGAGCATCCATCAAAGCTTGCGGCCTACATCAGAATGAAGACCCATCACAGCATTGTGCCCTAAGCTCCAGTGCTTTGGGTCATACACACAGTGCCACAATGCATGTCTGAAAGAAGCCATGCTCGCGTCATGACATCGCAATGCGGCTTTCGTCATCCTGCTGGCCCTTCCCCACCATATACACAATGCCATCCCCGCATGTTATTTGGCTTGTTAAAGTCTTTCTTGCTCCATCCACAAAGACATACTTGCATTTAGGAAGCTCGCTTTCATCAAAATAGCATGTTCCTCCATACAGACATCTGCAAGCCGGGGGCATTGTTGGCGGAGATTCAATAGCTAAGAAAAATGAAAAGACATGCATTATACAGATCCTGTAAATCATGATGGTTTATCCACTGCCAAGAACTCTGAAGAATCAGGAATTTTCTTTTGCCTAGTAGAAGCTTCTAATTTCTGTCTGTGTCGATCACATGCCATTTTCTCTTATGCGAGGTTCAGAGGGATAAACAATACCTTATGTAGACATATCTCTACCTTACCATGTGCATATTAGTAAAATATAATAACAAAACATCAGTCTCTGAAGCCAGCTGACAGAGAAACTAACCAACAAAATAGCCCTGAATCCACTGTTTTCTTCAGCTAGTGAGAAGAGCATCCCCAAAGGATGTCTCTTCATGCTGCTCCCATTGGTAGAGAGCCTTGTGTTTGAGAAAGTGATTTCCACCAATTTCTCTTCCCTTGGCTGTCCCCAGCTTCACTTCCCTAAGGCAGGGCTTTTCAATCTTTTCACCCATTGGACCACTTTTAGGATAGGGCAACATCCGAGTACCACCAGTCGCCTAGCAAGGTGTCAAAAACCTGATGACCAAAAAAAAAAAAAAAAGGAAAAAAGTGATAAAGTACAGGTAGTCCTCAGCTTACAACAGTTTTCTTAGTGACTGTTCGAAGTTACAATGGCACTGAAAAAAGTGCCCCCCCAAGGCACAGCCGAACAAGACACCTGGCTGCCCACCTGGCGGCGCTCTTCCTCTTGTCCGAGGTTTTCATTGCTGTGAGCATTTCTGTTGAGGATTGGCAGCGGGGGTGGGGGGGGTGTTTGGTTTTTATTCCCCCCATCTGCTGGGTGGTTGCAGCAGGTTTTGGTCACTTCACATGACCCTGGGACACTGTGACCGTCATAAATATGAATCAGTTGCTAAGCATCTGAATGTAAATCACAAGACCCTGGAGATGCTGCAACATTCCAGCTGATGGGCGCTTCTTCTGGACTCAGCAGAAGCGCCAGGTCCAGTGCCGAGCTCCAGCTGGAGCCTGACGCTGATCCTGATGCTTCCACTGAGCCCTGACAGTCCCGAAAAAGCGCTGGTCCTGGTGCTTCCGCTGAGCCCTGACAGCCCTGCAGCTCCAGCCATCTCTCGCTCAGGCTTGTGTGGTGCTACCACTGGTTCAGCTCATTCCCCTCCCCCGCTACCACTTTTCTAGGATGGTCGTGTACCACCTGCCAGGTGCCAATGTACCACAGGTGGTACCCGTACCACTGGTTGAAAAGCTTGCCCTAAGGTGTCCCTCATCTTTTCAGAGCACATTTACAGTGTGCAGGGGAGACAAGCTATACTTCTTCCGTTCTGACAACAAAAGACTGCCATGTTTAATTGCATTTTTTTTTAAAAAGTATTTATTTAAAAGAAGACTTACTTCAAGAACATCTTCTGCCAGCATACAAATAAAATAGATCAGTAAGTCATTAAAACTAAATAAACTATTTGATCACTACTGTCTATAAATGTTTTGGTTGTTGTTGTTTTTTTTGAAGAATTAATCTTCTGATACTTGTACAAAAATGCAACAATTAGTGCTATGTATCAGTCAGAAAACACCCTGGAAATGCTTAAGAGAATTTGACAAGTGATTAATATAAGAAATGAAATGTTCACCAGATTTCGTTAAAAATGTCCTCTTAACTCTAAGTACACAATTGCACACAGTGGAAACATATACATTGCATTATATACCTTGTATTTATGAGAAGGTATATACTCTGAGGTGGCACAGTGACTCAGTGGTTAAGACATTGGGCTTGTCAGCTGGAAAGCCAGCAGCCCAGGTTTGAGACCCAAGCGCCACATGATGGGGTGAGCTCCCGTCCTCACCCCAGCTCCTGCCAACCTAGTAGTTCGAAAGCATGTAAATATGAGTAGATAAATAGGCATCACTTAGGTGGGAAGGTAACAGCATTCCGTGATGTCATGCTGGCCACATGACCATGGAAATGACAGTGCTGCCTCAATGGCCTTGAAACAGAGATGAGCACTGCCCCCTAATCGGCAATGACTAGCGGAATAAAATCCACAGGGACTCCTTTACCTTTTATATACTCTGAGGATATTCACACCAAGGAATAGAGGCAGAAGTAACTGGGAGAAATGCATGTTGCTATTTTAGTTGTAAGCATTGCAAAGTAGTAGTGACTAGTTCTTTGTTCGCTATGAGGCCACATTTAATGTCTCTTGAGAAGGCAAGATCTCACTGAGCAGCTTCTAAGGAACGGTGAGTGGATTGAAATACAAATATGGGAGGACACTTCTATTATTATTTTTTTGATAAGGGTAAGAGTAGAACATTTTCTTTCTTTTTAAAAATCGTGTCCAACCTATTTTAGGGCTTATATATATTTTTTCCACTTAGAACAGTGGAAAACTGCACTGCTACCTTATAATGTACATCTGGGCAATGTAAGGCATCATCATGTTTCTGAATGTTCCCTGTGGGGAAAAATCCTTATAAATAGAAAATTATTACAATGCAAAATATTTGAACTAATATGTTTCTGTTTGATCTCCTGGCTTTTGACTGCAGAGAGTTCCTTATTTGGAGGTATGGTCTAAGACGCAACTTCCTTGTTCTTGAAACTAAAATACTATTTACGCATTACCTTGGTTCTGTGCGTGCATCAGAGTTTACTCAACTACACTCTGTCTCTTGTGAAAAAAGAGGATGTCCAGTAACTCTCCTTACCTGCGTCACATTCTACTGAGCTGCCTTCCACAAAACGAGCCCCTTGTGGACAAGCACAGGTATATCCCCCAGGTCTCAACAAGCAGAGGTGACTGCAGACATCTTTGCATGGATTGGACACTGCAGAGACAATAGAAGAGACAATACAATGCCTTAGTATGGCCACACTTGGAATACTGCATCCAGTTTTGGTCACCGCGATATAAAAAAGATGTTGAGACTCTAGAAAGAGTACAGAGAAGAGCAACAAAGATGATTAGGGGACTGGAGACTAAAACATATAAGGAACGGTTGCTGAAATTGGGTATGTCTAGTTTAATGAAGAGAAGGACGAGGGGGGACATGATAGCAGTGTTCCAATATCTCAGGGGTTGCCACAAAGAAGAGGGAGTCAAGCTATTCTCCAAAGCGCCCGAAGGCAGGACAAGAAGCAACGGGTGGAAACTAATTGAGGAGAGAAGCAACCTAGAACTAAGGAGAAACTTCCTGACAGTTAGAACAATTAACCAGTGAAACAACCTGCCTCCAGAAGCGGTGAATGCTCCAACACTGGAAGTTTTTAAGAAGAGACTGGACAGCCATTTGTCCGAAATGGTATAGGGTTTCCTGCCTGAGCAGGGGGTTGGACTAGATGACCTCCAAGGTCCCTTCCAACTTTACTTACTATTACTACTATTACTATTACTAAGAGGCATCAGAATGCCTTTCATAAGGCTCAATGTGCCAATCAGATTGGAAACGGGGGAGCATCAAGATAAACCTCAGAACAGATAGAACGCTCCTTGGTCTCCTGAACTTGGTTCAAAGCTCAGAATTGTTCTTTGGGATTGTATTCCCTTTCCGCTTTTTTTTTCTCCCTGGTTCCTCTCTCCTTCCTTTCCAGTTGTGGACATTATTATCGTTTATATTACTTCTGCATTGGTATTTTCACTATTTTAACCCAAGGTGCGCATAACTGAGAAAAAAAAAGCTTTGCTAAATATCATTGTTAAAAATACCGCCCCGTAACCTGTCAGGTTATGAGAAATTACAAAACCCAAAGCTTCCCATTGGCACAAGGCTTTAAAAAAGGTGAGAAGTGGAGGAAGCAGACATTCGTGCCAAATATTCCCTAGTTAGACAAGTGAGCATCACCATGCCTGCACTAAACTGGTGGCGTGAGACCAGGCACCAGAAGTTCCAGTCCCGTGACCATTTTCTATTTTATTTAACTCAAGATTAATTACCAGTTATTTGAACTATATTTTAACATACATTCCAATTCCTACCTCCTAAGCAAGCTTGCCTTGCCCTACAAAGCATCAAAAGGCAAAATTGGTGGTGGTGGTGAAGGCAAGAAATGATCTCATTCCTGTCTGTGCCACAAGAAAAATATGATGAGCCAGAGGCGTATGGCAGTCATAAAATAAATGCAAGATGCTTCCTCTCTGCCTCCTTGGATGATTTGAGATACCCAATGCTTTTTTTCCCCTTTTAACTTTTTTCCTAATGACTACAATAAGAGACACTGACATGGATAAAGTAAGAGACTGTGGATGCCAAATGCTCCTCAGGAAGTAACCTCAGGCACTAATTGGGTAATTATAACTACAAATTGATGATTTGAGAGACTGTCTGTCTCTGATTATTCTACCTATCCAACAGAAAAACTGTATTCTAAGTACCATTTATTATAGAGTGCAATTTGGCAGAGTCCAGGAAGAGAGCCTTTTCTGTTCTGGTGCCTGCCCATCATCCCCTCCTCCCAATGTTACACTGGCCCCAGCTCTGTGGGTCTTTTGTAGGCCTTAAAATACCTGGTTCCATCATTAGCTCTGAGACTTAGCCCATACAACGGCTATGTTGATTTTTTTTAATTGATGAATTTGATTTTGCTTTGGCTGATCTTTATTGGTGTTTGGTCATTTCTTGTTTCATGTTATTTATTTTTTTACCATTGTTAGTCATGAACATGAGATGAGCAGCAGTATAAATTGAAGTAAAAGTTAAAATAATAAATAAAATATAAATAAACAGTAGGACACAATAAAAAATTGATATTTTTTCTATAGGTTTTCATTCCCAACAAAAGATGCTTCCATTCTTCTATCATATTTTTAACATGCTTGAGAATTCATTCAAATTTTTTGGGTGGTGTTTTGAACTTATTGTATAGTTGAAAGTAATGAAATGTCCTGAGGTTGCCGATTTTGTTTCTGTTATATACATTTCCATTCTTCTGAAACCTTCCTACCTGCCTATTCTTCCCAGGGTAAAAAAAGAACAAAAAGTCAGGTTTGATGACCTTACTTGGATGTAGTGGAAGTGTGAGCAGCCTAAGAAGTTCTTGAATGAAAAGGTTATTCCCATACACTTCAGTCTGTTGTCCACCCTGTGATCAGTAACTACAAAAATATCTAATTCCACTCGTAATTTTTTCCCCAAATTCTCTTCTTGAATAGAACTTTTGAGAACTTCCTTCCTTCCTTCCTCCCTCCCTCCCTCAAAAAGTGGTCATTACCTGACTGGTTGCATCTGTGTTGGTGATAGACCCGGACTTGAGTGAGCCATGGGTTTATAGTCAACAGTTTGACTTTTTCTCCATTTCCAAACTTGTCTTTTTTCCAGACTTCTCCTCTTTCTTTAGATGTCCAATACAGATGGCCTTCAAAGACATCAAGGCTATACGGGCTGCTGACTTCAAGGTTAAGTAAAACAGATAAATTAACAGCAAATAATAATAATAATAATAATAATAATAGTAGTAGTAGTAGTAGTAGTAGTAGTAGTAGTAGTAGTAGTAGTAGTAAAGTTGGAAGGGACCTTGGAGGTCATCTAGTCCAACCCCCTGCTCAGGCAGGAAACCCTATACCATTTCGGACAAATGGCTGCCCAGTCTCTTCTTAAAAACCTCCAAAGGCCAACAACACTGTTATTCTAATTATTATTGTAGAAACA